GAAGCCTAAGTGAGGAACAAGACTGGACTTGTCACTATTGAGAGGTACTTGCACCCCTACTGCTCTGCACCCAACTTTAACTTCCATCTAGCTCTAAATAGCTCAATGCCAATGTGTGGTAGGTGAGAGCGGAGACTGTGATAACATGGTTCTTGGAGGGAAAACCTAGTCTTCTCTGTAGACTAAAGTTTACTGAGGTTTCAACAGACTCAGAAGTATCTGTCAGGTCTGTCCTCCAGCCTCTCCTCAGCCCTTCACAGACACCCCAAATTGGGTTCCAACAAACTGAGCTCACTGACTTTGCAAAGAAGCTGATTTTTCTTTATTTCTCTGTAGCCATCCATGTACCAAATTCTTCCCTGTTTTCTTTTTTTAATTATTATTTATTTCATTTATTTTTTTGCATTACAATCCTTATTACACATATAGAGCACATTTGTTTTGTATCTGTGTACATATAGTATGTTCACACCAACTTATGCCATTATATATGTAATCTTGTTTTTTGCATTATAATTCTTAATACACATAACTACCATAATTTTTCATATCTCTGTTTGTATATAAAGTATGTTGGCCCCAAATTCAAATCTTCATACATGTATTTTGTCTTGAGAATAACTCTCTCTTACAGCTCTCTCTCTAATCTCTGCCACCACCTCATAGAGTCACTCTGAGATTTCCATCACAGAGGCTTTGTGATTCTGCGTAAGTATCAGTTGAAGGTAGAACTTCATAAACTATAGGCTGCTTCTTATTTCTTCTCTGTTCCCATGCAGGCTCTCTGTTCCTCACCTTTACTTAACCTGTTTTAGTGATCAAGACCCACTATCTTCGTGCACCATGACCAAGTGGGATTCATCCCCGGGATGCAAGGCTGGTTCAATATACGGAAATCAATAAATGTAATTCACCACATCAATAGACTTAAAGATAAGAACCATATGATCATCTCGATTGATGCTGAAAAAGCATTTAACAAAATACAGCATCTCTTTATGTTCAAAACACTAGAAAAATTAGGGATAACAGGAAATTACCTCAACATGGTAAAAGCTATATATGCTAAGCCTCAGGCCAGCATCATTCTAAATGGAGAAAAATTGAAGGCATTCCCTTTAAAATCTGGAACAAGACAGGGATGCCCTCTCTCACCACTTCTATTCAATTTAGTTCTTGAAACACTAGCCAGAGCAATTAGACAGATGAAAGAAATTAAAGGCGTAAATATAGGAAAAGAAGAACTTAAATTAGCACTATTTGCCGATGACATGATCCTATACCTAGCAGACCCAAAAAGTTCAACCAAGAAGCTTCTAGAACTAGTAAATGAATTCAGCAAAGTGGCAGGATATAAAATCAATACCAATAAATCAAAGGCATTCCTGTATATCAGTGACAAATTCTCTGAAATGGAAATGAGGACAACTACTCCATTCACAATATCCTCAAAAAAAAAAAAAATACCTGGGAATCAACCTAACAAAAGAGGTGAAAGATCTATACAATGAAAACTACAGAACCCTGAAGAAAGAAACAGAAGAAGACCATAGAAGATGGAAGGATTTACCTTGCTCATGGATTGGTAGAATTAATATTATTAAGATGGCCACATTACCAAAAGCACTTTACAGATTCAATGCAATTCCAATCAAAATCCCAATGACATTCCTTGCAGAAATAGAAAAAGCAATCATGAAATTCATCTGGAAAAATAAGAGATCCAGAATAGCTAAAGTAATTCTAAGCAAGAAGAGTAAAATTGGTGGTATCGCGATTCCAGATTTTAAACTATAATATAGAGCAATAGTAACAAAAATAGCATGATACTGGCACCAAAACAGGCTGGTAGACCAATGGTACAGAATAGAGGACACAGAGACCAATCCACAAAATTACAACTACCTTATATTAGACAAAGGTGCTAAAAGCATGCAATGGAGAAAGGATAGCATCTTTAACAAATGGTGCTGGGAGAACTGGAAATCTATATGCAACAAAATGAAATTGAATCCCTTTCTCTCACCATGCACAAAAGTCAACTCAAAATGGATCAAAGAGCTAGGAATCAGACCAGAGACTGTGCGTCTAATAGAAGATAAAGTTGGCCCTAATCTTCATCACGTGGGGGCAGGCCACCTACAGCAGACACCTGCAGCACAAGAGTTAAAACCAAGAATCAACAAATGGGATGAATTCAAACTAAAAAGTTTTTTTCTCAGCAAGAGAGATAATATGTGAGGTGAATAGGAGCCTACATCCTGGGAACAAATTTTTACCCCTCAAACATCAGATAGAGCTCTAATCTCTAGAGTATACAAAGAACTCAAAAAGTTAAACAACAACAACAACAAAAAAACAAATAACCCAATCAACAAATGGGCCAAGGACTTGAACAGAAACTTCTCAGAAGAGGATATAGAACCACTCAACAAATACATGAAAAAATGCTCACCATCTCTAGCAATCAGAGAAATGCAAATTAAAACTACTCTAAGATACCATCTCACTCCAATAAGAATGGCAGCCATTATGAAGTCAAACAACAATAAGTGCTGGCAAGGATGCGGGGGAAAAGGGTACACTTGTACATTGCTGGTGGGACTGCAAATTGGTGCAGCCAATTTGGAAAGCAGTATGGAGATTCCTTGGAAAGCTGGGAATGGAACCACCATTTGATCCAGCTATTCCCCTTCTCGGACTATACCCAAAAGACCTAAAAAGAGCATACTACAGGGACACAGCCACGTCAATGTTTATAATAGCTAGAATGTGGAACCAACCTAGATGCCCTTCAATAGATGAATGGATTAAAAAATGTGGCATTTATACACAATGGACTATTACTCGGCACTAAAAAATAACAAGATCATGGCATTTGCAGGGAAATGGATGGCATTAGAGCAGATTATGCTAAGTGAAGTTAGCCAATCCCTAAAAAACAAATGCCAAATGTCTTCTCTGATATAAGGGGGGGGTGACTCAAAGTGGGATAGGGAGGAAGAGCATGAGAAGAAGACTACCACTAAATACGGAAGAGAGGTGGGAGGTAAAAAGAGGGAGAAGGGGAGTTGCACGGAAAATGGAAGGAGAACCTCATCGTTATACAGAATACATGTATGATGTTGTGATGAGAAAAAGAAAAAAAAGTGTGTCACATTAGATTGGATAGAGAGAAATGATGGGAGAGGAGGGGAGGAGTAGGGGGATAGGAAGGGCAGCAGAACAGAATAGACATTATGATTGATGTATGTATATAGGTGACTCTATGACCAGTGTGATTCTGCAATCTGTACTATTAGAAAAATGAGAAATTATACCCCAATGATTCAAATGTATGAATTGCCAAGATCATTGTAATGTCATGTGTAGATAATAATAATAATAAAAAAAGACCTGCTATCTTGACTCTACCCTAACTGTTCACAGGTAGCTACTGACTTAAGCATGCCATCACATGCTCTACTTAGAGAAATGATTTCACAGCGTTAATCACTGAAATCTTCCTCTTAAACACAATATCTAAAATGTTTGTTGCCATGTGCTCTGCCCATGTTGTTTCCCCTTTTGGAAGAACTTAATCAATCCTTCTTTTCTGGCTATTGGAATAGTGTTGGCTCTTCACGTACTAGTTTGGCAATTAACACCCTAAGCTCCATGTGTCAGTACTCATATGTAATTATATTATCTTGTTTTTCACTCTCTGTTTTCTGTGCTTATGCATGAATGTTCCCTGTTCAACAAAATCATAAATTCCTTGAGGGCCGGAGCTTAACTTATTTTAACTTTGTTTTGTAATCTAATAACTATTCACTGACCTCCAGCACTTGACTTTGGGGTAAGGTGATGCACAGTCTCTGGTCCTCACAGAACCTGCCTTCTAGTGTGCACGTGTATATGTGTGTGTAGGGGAGAGAGATTAAAAAAAAATGGACACACATTAAATAATTTGAAACTGAGATAAGTGTCCTGAAGGAAAAATAGAGTATGATAAGAGAATATGACAAAACTTCACTTTGAAAGAAAATGCCTTGGAGTTAAAATCAAAAAGATAAAATAGAAGTAAACAGGCAAGTGGGGTCTAAAGAAGCTGGTACCTTAGAGGAAGTGGAGTCAGTATCTGTAACCTGAAAGGCAGAAGTAAGCTAGGTGAGATCAGGCTGCTGAGTTCTGGCTAGGGTTGCTTCTAGCATTAAACCAGAGTATCTGCTATGTGAGAGTAAGCTTTAGATGGTGTTTAAGTGTTATAATACATCATAGCAAGGGTCACTTTTGAATAAGGTCATTTGTGAACTTTTGTTGTTTGTATATTAGCCTTTCAAACAATGCTCAGCACACAAACCTTTAAGAACACAAACACAGGTGCTTGTGAAGAGGTGTCAGAATGCCCACTTTACTGACCCATCCATGACCGGTGAGAACGCAGAACCAAGGAAATGGATCTGAAAGGGCTCCATGTAGCTTTAAGAATGAGAGGAATTGCTGATAACTGCTTCCAACTTTGTCTTTCTCAAGTTCAATTAAAAAAAAAAGGCATGAACCAACAACAACCATGATATGGACTGTAGTCTTTTCCACATTATGAGTTAGATACCAAAATGCTTTACGCAGTCCACCCAACAGATGGTAATGTATTCCAGTCATTACCAATGTGAGCAGGATTCAAACCAGTGACCTCAGGGGCAAGAGGCTGCACATCCAATTACAAATTCTTGCTTTCCTTAAGTGTTAAGATGCCTAAAGCAATATATTTTATTTACATCAAGATGCATTGTATAAACTATATTTGATAAAAGAGATGACTTCACGTTCTCAACTTAAATCAAAGAATGCTTACTTAAGTATTTTTTTAATTGAATCAGACTTTAATGCCATCGTATAATCTTTTGGTTAACAGTGCTCATCTTGATTATTCTAACAAAGGAAAACATGAAAATTAATACTTAGTTGTAGAGCTTGGATATCTATAAAAATACATTAGAAAAATTCAAAAGAGATACCTGGGACGTCCGTAAAGGTTTCTCCAAGGACAGAGATATGGAAATTGAGTCCTAAGTCCTTTAGATGCATTAATACCTTAAAAAAACTCTCTGGATTTTTGTCATGCTCCCTGCAAATAAACACACAAAACATAACTTTTGTTACCTTATGGTATGTATTAGGAAAAGTGGTTGCCCTTCTCATAGGGCCAATTCTTTTCAGAACCTATGGCTAAGGTTAGACAACAGAAAGTACATAGTATTTTTCTTTCTCCCAAAATGATATATTTTCCATTTAACACAGATTTTCTTTTTTTAAAGGAAAGACCAATCTTCAAAGGATGATTCTTTCTGGATCATGAGGATGTATCAGAAGTGCTTTTCATTTCCACAGGTCTGAATACCTTCCTCCCACACTTCCTGAGCCCCTTTGTGCCCACAAGGAACACACAATTTAGGGTGAGCTTACATACTCCTTTAGTCATCTCACAATTTAAATAACTGAATGAAGAGTCATAAATACAGCAAAAGGGGACAGGTCTGAGACTGTCTGCTGAATATTACATTAGGAATTAAAGCTAATCAACATATAAAAGAGTACTAATAAAAATAATACCTCCATTTAATAGAAACTTTGAAAAACAGATTATTTTTAGTTTTTTAGTTTTCTTTCTAAAGACAGAATGAGAAGTGAAAGTACACTGAAATAATAGTAATAAAAAAACTCCAGTTGGAAAAAAAATCACATTAAAATGGAGTTGTTTTTTTTTTTTAACATTCTAAGGTGTGAATATTTCTGTATTTCTTGCATTTAATTACACTGTTTTAAATTATCTTATTTTGGACAGATGTAGACCAGATGTCTTCAAAATATTTGTTTTTTATTTATAATTCAGAATTTTAACTTCTTTTTATATTACAGAAAAATAGTTATATATCAGCAATTGAATTTCTCATTTACCAACTAATTATGTAAAATAAATCTGTAAATTGATCAAACTGCTATATGAAATATGAAAATTACATCATTCAGGAAATCTCATGAAAAATGACATCTGTACCCCTAAATGTGTTAATTCACAATTCAGTCAATATTTTCAGTATCATGAATTAAAACAAATGCACTTCTAATTAACATTTTAAAATGGCATTTATAATCTTACGAAATTTTAAGATCTTATAGAATTAGAGTTCTTTAACGATTTATTTTAAGCTCTATGTCTCTCAGTTTGATTTACTTCAAATAATAAAGAATGCAATGGCAAAATGTTCATTGCTTTTTAAGATGATGTGCATTACATACATGTACCATTGGGAAGTTTTTGGATAGTTCTCATATATACTACTGCTATGGGCAAGAACAAAGACTCAGAACAGTTTGAGAGGAAAGAATACACCATATGCTATCTTCGACTATATCAATCAAATAGCTGCCACCTTCTCTGTAAAATGTTCTTCTAGTCTGATTCTCTTGGAAATACTTAGATGAAAGAACGGAAACAATATAGCATAATGTATCTTAAAGACGGAGTAACACTGTAGGGAAATCTAGCCACTCAGTTATCTAAATTTTTCATTTTGCGTTCTAAAAATTTTGGCTAGGGATCCCCAAGAGACCATCAAAATATTATAAATATTTCCTACTGTGGTGTGTCTTTGTGTGTGTGTATTAACAAAAAAAGTAGATGCAGTCTGGGGTTGGGAGGAGGTTTAACCGGTGGAGGCTGTAGTTCTTAAGATTCCAATGTAAGTATTTTCAAAGAAGCAGGCTTTATGGTCCTCCATTTTCAATGTTTCTTTACAAGATAAATGCATTACAATCCATCTGTATTCTTTATTATTTCTTATAAATGGCCCAAAGCTTTCATATTCAATAGTCACTTTGCATAAGAACACAAAAGAGATTTGTGTGAATCCCCTTTTGTTTAAACCATAATATATGGCTGAATATAAGGTGAGAGCCTTTTCTTCCTCCAAATTATCCCTCAGAAAACGAGGCATTTTATTCTAAAGTCCTTATAAAGTCTCTCATAATATCACACACTCTCCATTACTTTGTTTGAACAGAGTGCTGTTTGGGGAATATGCATTAGATTGAAACATCATCAACTCATGAGTTTAGAATGGTTTTAACTGTCTTGCAATTGATAGGACTGGTAAGTGGAAGTAAAGAAATTTAATATTGAGATAGATAGTAATTATTTTGGGAGATATGACCTAACAATTCTAAGCTCTGGATCATGTGGAAAACAAGTATTTTAAAGATCACTAAAAAAAGCAACAGAGTAAGTGGTTACTAGAGATCATGAGCAGTAAACAAGTTTTTATAGCTGGGAAAAGATTTCTAGTGATGGCATCAGACGGTTTCACAAGGTCCTGTACCCAAACCACTTAGACTGAATTCCAAATGACAGGTGGTGGAAACAAGCCAGTTGTCTGAAAAGGTAGCACCACCACTCTGATGTCAAGAATGCATGGGAGGGGAGTCGGACCAAAACTACTTCCTGAAATACAAGGGCAATAGTTCTAAAAACCATAATATGTGTTTCAAAGTTTATTTATATCAAATTAGTAGATGGCATATTATAAGCACACACTTCATTATTTTATTTGTATCTTTTCAAGTTTAACATAGTCAATTTAGTTGAAAATTTCTTGGCTTTTTTTTTAGAAGTGGGAAATTGCTTAATATTCAATCATTAAAGATGTGCACAAACATTAGCCACAGCATGGATGATACTCAGTGACAGAACTCAATGTATTTGTCCAGCAGGCTACTCATTCTAGATATCTAGTGGAACACCCATAGATCTTACCCCAGTGCCCATGATATTAAGAAGTCCATTGAGCAGAATATGTGAATCTGTCCTAAGTCCCTTTCTAAGAAATCTAATGTGAGATTCTCATACATATAATTTTAGTGAAAGCATTAAATAAGACAGGCTTTAAAGATAATATTGAGTGCCCTTTTCTGCCTAATAGCTGTTAAGATTAAATATACATTTAATAACACACCTAAATCTCTAGAACCCCACTTGTAGATTTATGGGCTCCTAAACACTTCTGTTCTTATCCACTCCTGGTAGGAATGTAATTTGAAACTATCTTTTAGAGGACAATTTGGCAATGTACATTATGAGCCTTAAAGTGTGCATAACTATTGCCACAATAATTACCATTTAGAAAAGTTAGCCTATAAAGCAAAGATATGAATAGAAATTCAGGTAGAGTGTTCATAATAGCATTGTTAATAATAGCAACTATCTCTACACAATCTAATGGGGTAAGTATACACACACACACACACACAACCAAGGAGAGAGATACACATACATACATGATACAAATACCATGCAGTCATTAAAAATATTATTGCAAAAAATGCTGCAGAAGTATGTATTTGGTACCGAGGATTGAACTCAGTGTTTAACCACTGAGCCACATCCCCAACCCTTTTTTTATACTTTATTTAGAGACAGGATCTTGCTGAGTTGCTTAGGGCCTTGCTAAATTGCTTGCTGAGGCTGGCTTTGAACTCGAAATCCTCTTGCCTCAGCCTCCTGAGCCACTGGGATTACAGGTGTGTACCACTGTGCCTGGCCAGAAGTATCTTTTTTGACATGGATAAATGTTCAAAAACACTTTCAACTAAGAGAGATGACAAAGTAGCATGTACTATATGATCTGCCTTTGTTAAATATGCCTAGAGAAGTTTGGGATTAAGTAGGCCAAAATGTTAAAAGGGTTTATCTCTAGGAATTGTTATAAATATTTATTTTTTCCATTTTTTTCTTTAATAAACATTTCTTACTTTAATCACTTTCGAGGTTTTAAAGAAATCTTCCCTCTCTAATATCATACCATTAGATTGTATTCATAGGCTTTTTGCTTAACTCTATTACATTTTCAGTATTCATAGTAGCATCATCTCTCTGTTCCTTTGACCCCTCCATATTTGACAACTGCCAATCTAGCAAACTTGACTTATCACAGAACATTCAAGCAGATGGGTCAGGGTCCAAGCTTCCCAACAATCTCCAAACTCTTGACTAGGTAAGAATGAAACAGTCTGGCTGGGAATTCTTTGCTCAGCACCCCCACCATGGCAGAAGAGACCAGCACAGAAATATTTCAGGCTTACTGGAAGCAGTAGATACAGCAAGAACAGCTTTTATTCCCAAATATTATTCAGAACATTTGAAAAGCATAAACTGTTTCCATGTGTTTTTTCTTCCTATATCTGTCTCTCTCTGTTGCCTTTCCCATTTCGTTTCTAAGAGCTAAATTTCTTCTTATTCCTCACTTAACATTCGTTCAGTAAATATTTATTGAGGATTTCTAAGTTCTCCATACTTGTCACTTATCCTAAACTGTTATCCTTTCCTATTTTCCCACATAACTTTATACATATGAATGCAATCTCTTTGATCTAGTTCCTTGCCTGGCTTGGGAAGAAACCTGGCTCTTCACAGATATTAGCGTTCCCAGGAGCATGCTCTCTGTGTTGAGAGCTCCATGGAGGAAGGATAAAACATACCTGTTTTGTTAACCATTAAGCACCCAGTGCCCAGTTGAGTAGTCACCCAGATGACTTTTGCTCATCAAAATCTAGTTCTTTGTATTTGGGCACACAGAAGACTCTATATTCACCCCCTTATAGTGGGACCCAGCTAAAGAACTAGTTGTGACTAATGGATTGCTAGTTGATTGACATGCATCACTGTCAACTGAAAACATCCAATAGCAGTTCTGGATACTCCTTTTCCACTGTGGAAAATCTTGTAGAGGCCTTGTGTTAAGATGATGAGGTCAAAAGAGTGATGAGGTCAAAAGAGTGAAGTAGACTGGATTGCCATATTGGAGAGCTGCCCTAAACAGGCAACAGATGAAGAAGGTGAGAGATGATACTTGTGTTTAAGCAACTGATATTTGGGATGAGATATGGGATGTGTTCATTTTTGCAGCATAGCATAGCTTACCCTGACCAAAACATCTGTGGAACAAGTTAGCTGCTCTATAAATATCTGTTGAGTAAACGAAGGTGTTGGAAAGACAAGTCACATTTATAGAGTTCCTGTTTTGTTCCAAATCCCGTGCTGAGCACCTGATCATAATCTCACTTGAGCTTCTC